AAAAAAATGTCCTTGAATGTTATTATACAATAGATCCACTCCATTGGGGCACATTACCTTGTCTGGCACAACAAATTCTCAGACTAGAAAGAGAAAGAAAGGAGAGAAAACGAGCAGAAACAACAAGCAAAAACGTAGAGAGCAGTTTTTCAACGGAACGGAGAAGATCAAACTGCCACTGTTAGTTCAACCGACCACAGGGAGAAAACCCAAAAGCCAGAAAGTCAGCAATAAGCAAAAGTTACAAACTTTATGGGATTTCTTTTCAAAAGGGTGCGTTAAGGATTTATAATTTGTAGGGGCACGTCTTAGTCATCTGAGGTAAGATTTGTGCCCACTCATATACACCATGTCGACCATTTACTGTATATAAACCCGCATGCAAAATAATGAAAATAGATTGAAAACAAAAGCTTTAATTAATAGCAAGAAGAAAATTGGACTGATTGATCAGTAAAAGAACTTTGTTTGATTTCATGAAAATATGGTCAATGAATATTTCACAAATTGCAATTAATTTTATTATTTTACCTTATAAACATGACCTTACGATGTAAAAGCATATAAAAAAAATAAAAATAAAGCAAGAAGATTTTAAATTAATAAAATTCTGACATGAATTGCGTTTGGTTGGCAGCACATGGCACGAGGTGGTGGGGTCGGAGAGAGAATACAAAGAAGGAGATCCTGTCTTTGACGTTTCCTTTCTTTTCCCAACGGCTATATTTTTTATTTATTTTTTGTTAATTCACGATAGAGGATATTTTAATTTTTATTTTTGAACTTAAAAAGGTCAAAAGCCAAACTTAAAACATTATTATTTTTATTAAATGAAATCAAAACTAATGGGAACAACTAAAGTCAATTCAAATCTCCAGCATATTTGTTTTAAATATTGATGAAGAAAGTGTATGATTCATATTAAGTTTATTTAACTCAAAGATGATTGCTTTCCATAAAAGATAAATATAGTTTATGGTAAAAAATAATCTCCTAAACACGAGTGTATAGTTTCATAAAAGTTTATGGTGTTGCTTATCATTTAGTTTTATGAAATATAACTCTAATTAGAAACAACACAAGCATGACGCGTTTACACCTAACATAATATTTTAATTAGTTGAGCATGTGCATAATTAAAGTCATAAAATTTTATATTTGAACACTCTTCGTATATTCGTATGATTATAGATGTAAGTATTTATCAGAATTTGTCTTTAATACATGTTTTGGTGGATTAATAAGAAAAAGATCTGTATATAAATTATATAGTTTTTCTTAATTTTTTGTTTTGAGAATATAAAAGTTATTATGAGGCATAACGCAGTAAATGATTTTGCAGTGACACATCCCTTGATAGTTGGTATAAGGTTGTTTCATTTGAATGTGGTTTCTAATAAACACTGACCCACACAATATAACGTTGAAAGCAGTTAATGAGATAAGTTTGAAGTTTTGAATTAATGAATATGTTTTTTTTTTTTTCCATTGTCAAGTGCCTATTAAACAATGGACGTTACAACTCTATCATGTTAAAATCAATTTAATTGTATTTACTATTCGAAATGTTATCTTTTTAATAATTTATGGACACACAATCCAAAAATTAATAATGCAAGTTTGTTTCTCTATCCGCTAGAAAAAATCATAGCCAAGAAAGTTATATATGACTATTATTCTATTCTTGTAAATTTTGATTTTTTGTTAATTATGTTATTATGGGAATTTAATTTTCATAAAATTTGAATATAAATTTAATACATTCTTAATATGAAATCTTACTAAATTTTGTTTCAATTACGTTTAAAGATAACAAAATTGTGAATACATAACATAAGTTTTAATAATAACATGGTGAAATTAATTTAATATGTGTACCAAGTAATATGGTTTCAACTTAAATATACTTTCTTAGGTAAAGAAAATTAATTAATTGAAAACACATAAACTCATATTTAAAGCATTCGTATTTAACAACCCCAAACCATAATTGAATAAATAATAATAATAATAATAATTTCATAATTAGTAAAAATGTCACTTAAAAACTTCTTAGGTGATAGAAGTTATAGAATTTGTATATTAGAATAAGAAATCATATTGTATTAATAAATCAAGCAATTAATTACAATAAAATAGAAAAATATTTTATAACGTCTTATTATCTTATTGGTTACTAATAGAGAGACAATATTTTTTATTTTTAATTATAAAAAATGTTACTTTATTTTTATTTTCTCTGTTTTCTACTCATTCATATACAAGATAATAAAAATAGAGTGACATTTTTCAATTAAAAAATATATATTTTAAAAAGAAACAACCCTTAAAATTTCATTAAAAATCATTATAGAAATTTATTGATGACGTTATACTAATTAATAGAAGTTCTTAACTTTTGTTTTCTTGAATAATGCTGTCAAGGACTCATGTTAACTTTTTTTTTTTTCACTATTGTATCCAAAAAAACAAACAAGTGCTCTAAAAATATTAGTTAAGAAACTAATTAATAACTTTTTTTATTAAAGATTATGGTAAGAAAACCATAATCTTACTTTATATTTTTTGGGATAGTTTGGTAGCATTTAGTCTGTCCATTTTGGTCTGCTATTTGATTTAGAGAAAGGTTACTTTTTGTAGAAATTGTTGGTTTCTATGTGAACTCGATTCATACGAGATTTAATGTGGTTACGAAACAGCCTTTTACGTAGTTGGGACTTGGGAGGCCCAATTTAGTGACATTAACTGGGGACATGTCTGGGAAGTTGTGGACCATGGTGGCCCAAACTGTTGAAGAAATGATTGAATGCAGAAAGGGAAATTACAGAAGAGAGACTTAACAAAGAGGCAAGAAAATGAATGGATACCTTTTAGTAGGGAAGGGTTGGACCTCCTTTCTCCATTGTCCTTCTTTTGTAACCAAGAAGAGGGATGCCATGATTAAGACTCACAAGACACGTTGCTATAGCCACATGTAGTAACCCCACAGGATACTCACATCATGCAATTGGAGTAATCTGAAAACATCATCTCATTTGCAATTACCAGTAAAGTTGGCGGAGTTTCTAACCAAACTGGAAATGTATCCTCCATGTTAGTGTTTCCAAGGTTCAGAACTTCGAGCACTGTACAGTGAGCCTAAGAACGTGGTCATGGTCCCTTCAACTGATTTTCATTCTACGTTATAGTCTCAGATGCATTTCCTTTGGAAAAGTTTTGAGGTATGCTTCCATGAAGGCTGTTCTTTTGCATGTCCAACACCCAAAGAGAAGGATTTGCTCCTAAGCTTTGTGGTATAAGGGTTGCCAAGATGTGGAGAGCCAAGTTGGGTGCCGAAGATGTCAGGCAAACTCACATGCAAATGGTGTGGTGAAGGCTAAAGAGAGACCAAAGAGGATGACAGATTGGTTAGCAGTGACAAATCTCTCTCTGACACAAGACATGTTCACGCCATCTAAACGAATCTCTCTTAAATTAGTTGCATTGTGAATGAGTTTGTTCCAAGTGTATGGATCAATTCTGATTCTCAAGAACTTAGAGTATGCCACTATAAGCCACTCCATAAATTGATATTAAACCAGAAAAGTAGAGGAATTTAGTTATGGAAGCAATTAGTAACGTTGAATCTGGTTATGGAGACCTACTTACGTTGCTTCAAATGATAGAAAGAGATCAATCACTCCTGTTACTAGATTCTTGTTTCTCATGGATCATCATTGAATTGGTATTTAATGTCATTTACTCAATGCTAAATATAATAATAAAACTTGTGAATCATTATTAAAATCATTTTCTTTAGGTTAATTTCTATTTTGTCAAAGTATTTTAAATTTTTTAACATTATACGTGCACGAAATACTTGCTAGCAATTTATTATTATGATATATTTAAACAAACATATTCATAAACATTTATGAACTAAAATTAGTTTACAAATAAGTTTTATATTGTTTCTTTTACACGATTTTTTTAAATACTTATTTTTAACTTATGTATAAGTTAATTTTAGTTTATATATAAATAACTTTATTTTTTCCTAAGAATGTCTATAATTTGTTTATGTACTTATATCCTATAATTTTTTTATTATTTTGAAATATAAAAATCTACAATTGAAAATTATTATACTAAAATATTACTTTTTGTTGCAAGTATTTTGACAATTTCCAACTCTTGATTCTGTAAAATCTGTGTATCAATTAGCCGAAGAGAATTGCATAATAGCTTTGGGTTTGCGAATCATCACTTGTTAGATATTTGCATCAGCGATATCAAGTTATTTTAGCTTAATTTGTGAAGACTCTTATTAGTTCCTCAATAGACCTTTATAATAATCTTCAGATGAAAAAGAAGAGAAACACCTACCTGTGACATCATATATTAAGGAAATCAAAACCAAGGTTCTTTAATCACATTGACATCGTTTCATGTTTCAATGTATATATTTATCATTTCATAATAAGATTACAAGTTTCTAGAATCAATTAAGGAACTTAACTATGGTTCTACCAAACACACAATTATTTCTCTCATTTTCATTTGAAGAGTTTCGAAAGTCTAAATAAAAATTCAAAGTCAAAAGGTCTTGGGTTGAAGAACACAGGACCACTTAGTCCTTAGCGTCCTTGGCTGTTATTAGAACTCCACCTGAATGTGGTATTGAACAGCTTAGACTTGTAATCACTTTTCCTTAAATATTTGCCCAACAAACACACTTGCAATTTTTTTTCTTCTACACAAAACAATAGTAATTTTAAGAAAATACTGCATGTATGATTTTTCTCAAAGTAGAACATAATTATATTTTCTTACATAATGAATGACAGGATCAACAACAGTAAAATATATCCATAGCCTGTTCCCATGGTAGAACATAGAGATGTTTCTGATCCACCATCTACTAGTCGTATTGTTTCTTTAATTTCCTTCTTTTTCTTTCAATTCCTATTTATTACCTAGATGCAATCCTTCACAAGTTTCTGTATGAGGAAATATCAGAATTAGCCATTTTGATGAACAGCAATATGGTGAATGTCCATGTCCTTCAACATTACCGCACGCCCACAAGAGTCACAGGGGGCAGTCCTGGAACCACATATACTCTCATGCTCTGACAAACCTCTTAATCTGTCACGGACATCAATGGCAGAGTTCCCAGCTTGAACCATATCACCACAAAACTGGCATGTAATAAGACGCACAGGGCAAACTGAAGCTTGATGCTCCACCTAGTAAAGGAAAACTTAGTCATTTTTTTTTTTTTTTTTTTTTTTGCAAATTGACGACAAAAGACTAAAAAACTTTAGGACATTTCACTCTTTAAGATTAAGAAATAATACACATATCAAGAATGTTTATTTGTCTGTTAATTATTTCCAATTACTCAAAAGGGAAACGCCGAACATGCTCATTTAAAATGCATCCATCTCCTTAAGCCTCTAACTCCAAATTTTGTCGATAGGCAGTAACCCTACTCTCCAAAAGTCTTGGAAATTAAAACAGGGCATTTTTTTTACCACGAAGATATAAATAAAATTTGAGATTCCTATCATCTGGAATAAAAATGGAAAGTAGGATGTGTGTGCATGTTTGCAAAGGCAGACAAACATGCCAAATATCACATGGTTTAGCTTCTCATCTTTTCAAAATTTACAGTCCTATCATAATTCACATGATTGTCCGTCAATAAAATGCTTTTAATTTGTTAAGAGTAGCAATAAATAAGGATAGAGGAGGCTTACTGTTAATGTTCCATAGACAAAGGAAGTTGTACAAATAAAATAAAATTATGTGTTTGGTTGGATACAATGAACAAATGGTTAAAAAAAAATATATATATATATATATATATATATATATATATATATATATATTATATAGCCACTCCCCAATCCCTAGACTTTCAACTTTTAGAAGGATCCAACATTCCAGTCCGCTAACCTTAGGAAAAACAAATCTAATTCCATACTTCAAAGTTTGTTTATAAGATGAAAAAAAAAGTGTCAATAAATTTTTTTTATCTTGTAATAATTTTGCACACTCACTTTCAACTGGAAACAGTATAATTATTCATTGCCTCCTTAACATTGTTTCAATCAAATTTAAATAAGATGAAGGATTTTCCCATTGTTTCTCAGAACTAAACTCACCTACCAAAGAAGACTACAAATTTGGATGGGCATAATTACATCAACAGAACACAGTAAATAATGAATCACAGATATAAACAGGAAGAAGAATTAGAACAGGGAAAAAGAAATAAACACAGGCGACACAAAACTAGTAAGAGAGAGAGAGAGAGAGAGAGAGAGATGTGCAGCTCACCATTTGCTCTTTCTCGAGGACTATTCCACAAGGGCAGTGAAGTGGCTCATGAAAAACTTTCATGTGTTTTTCTAATTCTACCTGCTGGAATGCCTGACCACACCTGTCACAATGAATGTGGTTCTTGAACTCTTCAATTCTAAGAACAACTCCACAGCCTGCATGCTGACAGACCACAATGTGCCTTCTACAGTAGGCTTCATGCAGTGCAATAGTCCTAGTGGGTATATAATGCTTGCAGTTCGTACATTGTTCGGTATCCATTTCCACGGATGACACAGAAGATGATGCTTGCTGACCAACTTTTTGGTTGAAGTTATCCCGGACCACTGCTGATATTTTATACTTAGTCAATCCCTTGAAGCCATAAATACCAATGCTGTAGGTCCCCGTACCCAAGCTTTTATCTTTAGAACTAAGAATCAAACTCTTTGCGCCAATATCATGAGAAGACCACTCATGCTGGTGTCGTGTCGGAAATATGAGAGGATGTTTAGAGATGAAAAGATCAGTGTCCCCCCCACCAGTCTCCGACTCTAATTTTACCTCGATACAAGAATTCCCAGAAGATAGTTTCTCCCATATGACGTTATTGTCTATAGAAAATTTGTAATACACAAATTTTCCTTCTTCTACTGTTCCACTTTGTGACATTCCAAATGCAAGTGGTATTAAAACATGCTCATCTGCCTTTTCGGAAGAGGTATCAGGATCAACAATGTCCACTTCAATGTCTGTTTCTAAAACAGATACACTTGAAGAAGGTTTCAACTCAAGTACCCTTAATTTATATGCAAGTTCTCCATAGTTTACAGTTAAAATGTCACCTTGAGAAAGGGTAGCATGCTGCCGAAGAGAAGTTTCAAGGATAGCCTTATGATTTGGCAAGTCAGAAAATCCTACTCTTTCAGGTTGAAGTTTTGCGTATGTCCCTTTTGGAAGCCAAACATAGCGGACTTCAACTAATGGAGATTCTGAAGCGCCTTCAGAAAATAAATTATTCCTAACATGAGGAGGAAGTCCTACTTGACCTTCATCAGCAGTGAATTCCAAAACTCCTGAATGGGTGGTCCCCTGGTTATCTTTATTAGTATCTTGAAAGCTTGAAGAGCTTTCCTTGTGAACTAATGACAATTGAAAGTATATGGGTCCCTTATCAAAAGCACCCTGATCAGACAGTTCTGTGAAGCAAGAAGGAGGAAGCTTGATCTTATCTCCACCACCTTGATAAGGTACAGCCTCTAGTAGTCGATAAAACACTATTCCTCTGCCAGCAAGTAGCGTTTCTTGCATCTGTTGGTCGGCCTGAATTAAGAAAGGTAAACCAAGAGAATCATTTAGCATTTCCACATTAACAATGTAGACGTAATTTGCAGCCACAAATTTTGTGCTGGAAGGCAAGAGCAACATTTATAAACATATATTAGCAAGCTTATTTTCAGTAGTAGAGGGATTAAAAATTACAAGACTAATTTTCAATATCATTTAAGGTAAAAAATTACATTAACTACTTATTGCAACTGATTTTTAACCATTAAAAACCATTCATAGATATACACTTGATAGCTTAATCTTTTTAGGTGATGGTTATTCAACGCAGTATCAAATACTATTCGACCAACTGGTCAAGTGATCCATACTTGATATAATGTTCCATTATTCCAGTGAAATTACATTCAATAAGAAAATAAGGTGGGCAGTGGCCCTATCCCTTACCTCAAGTTCAAAGGCTTCTTGCTTAAAGGCCATGTTAGAGATTAAACTCTTTCTAAGCCACCAGCAAACAGCTCACAAACCTATTGCGGTGCTTGCACCAGAAAGGGGTATACAAGAATCCAGTATGGACTATTCTGAATACTCCGCACAATTTTAACTTTCCAATGAATATAATTGCTGAATCACATTTTTGTATAAGTATAAAGGAAGCATTTTAACAACCATATCTTGTAAAGGGCATAAAAGTGATTCACCATAAAAAAGGTACAAAAACAGGGAGCATAAAATCAATGGTGATAGACATCAAAACATAAAATGTGGAAATTTGACAACCCTTGCCCTTAAACCACAAGGACCAACTGATGTATAAGTTTATTGAGTGAGATAATCATCCTAGGGCATGATCTGGCAATTGACAAGGCCTGATCCTAGCAAAAGGTAGACAAACTATACTGAAAAGCCAATATATATATGCCATCAATTTCACGAGTCAGATTGTCCAACCCTACCTATGTTGGCTTCAAAGTTATTATCTTCAAAGAGCAATCTACAGTAGTACACCTCTAATTTTCAACAAATCTAATAGAGAGAAATCAATCTGAAGGAAGGACCCAATAACAAGATTACCCATTGGAAAAGAACATGTTGAAGATGAACGAAAGGGTTTGATAGTAATGGAAAGGATGAAAAGGCGTGAATACCTTGAGTTGCGCTTCGACCGCATCAATACGACGAGATCTTTGGACAGCTTCGAGGGCTTCCTTTTGTCTCTGAGCCTCTTCTTTGGCCTTTCTTTCCTTCTGCACTTTCAATCTCGCTCTTTCCTTCCTCTCCCTCTGCTCTTTCTCTAACTTTTCTCTCGCCCTTCTCAGTTCGAAATCCATCTCTCTCCGATGTGGTGTGTTCGTGCTGAATAAGAAAAGGAGTGCAATTTGTGAATGAATCCGATATACAAAGTGAATTTTGAACGTTGTTTTTTCCTTTTACTGTTGTTGGTCGGTAAGCTTCTTAGTAAGATGAATTTAATTTAATAGTTTAGTATTTGGGTTCTAGAAAAGTCTGGGCTTTTCTTCTCTATATTTTACAAAACGTGTTGTTTCCTTAGTTTAGTTTGGTTATAAAAAAAAATGTGCGAATTCCATTGGTACCCCTTTCACTAAGCAAATAAATCAAATGAATTTAGGTAATTTCGTATAAAAAAATATACATATAAAATAAATTTTTGAAGATTTGTATATAAAAAAATAATTATGATTATAATAATAATTTTTTATTATATTATTTTTATAATAATAAAGTGTTGGATAGATGTATATGAAGTGAAGATGTAATCTTATCATTTTCCAATTTTAAATGATCCTGATTCTTCTTTAGTATCTAAAATTTTATAAAATTAAAGACCAATTTCTTAGATAGTTGATACTGATATTTTAAATATTTATTCATTATAAATTTAAATTATTTAAAATAGAATGCACATGCTGACAATACGTAGGAGGTGACGTCGTTTCCTGTTTGGTGCGTCGTTTCCTGTTTGGTGCGGCATTTACTGAAGCGGATACTGGCGTCGTGGAGCTCTGTGGCGGAGCGGATGATCTCGTCGTCGCCCTGGTCCTCCTCGCTCAGCCATAGCCTTCTTCTGCGTTTTGTTTTGGAGACGATGGATGAGGCTTTTCTGTACACGGCCAACACGTGCATGCATTTGTTGATTCGTTAGTTACTATTGGAGATCCGGTCACAGATCAAGGTTAGATTGATGCAATCCTTGGAAAGTTTTATGATTAGGGTGATACAACTTATTCGTAATGATGATCTATGGAATATTAATGAAAGAATTTGAAGAATATGATTCAGAACAGGCAAGGGTTATCAAATCAGATAGAAGAAAATCGTACAAAACTAATTTTAAAATCCCAACTCCATTCATGTACAAACTTGTCAAACCTTACGCACACGAAACTTCCAAAAGCTATTAACAACATGGTGAAATAGGTTCGAATAATCTTCATCTCACAGACAGGAGATTTATGAGAGTTTGATTTTCGTAGGAAGCATCGTAGAAATCCTCGGTAGGTGATGAAAGTGTCATAAGAGCAACAACTATGGACCTCATACTTGGGCGTAGTAGTGGATTATCTCTTGTACAAGCTCGAGCAAGTTGAGCAATCTGCAACCCAAACAATCAACATACCTAAGTTTTGGCTGGGCTAAAACTTTATTAGATATAAACATTCAAATTATTTTCACAGAAAAATGTTTTCCACCTTCAGAACTGAATCAATTGGATAGTTTTCTCCAAGCCTAGGATCCACTAGTTTGCGAATACCTTCGGAAGGATTACTCTGATTAAGTGCTTCTTCAAACTGCAATACAAAACAAGTGAAGGGTAACTTCATTTCTGTTCAGGTGGATGCATGCTGTTTACTGGCTTTGAAATGTAAGTGATTTGAGAGTGTTTTGTTATTAGAACAGTTCAGAGGAGTATGTAGACTCACCAAAGCTACAAGGCCCTTGGATTCAGCAACAGATTCACCTGTCTTTAGGACAGCATTCTTTGCAGAAATAAGTTCATAAAGAACCACACCAAAAGCGTATACATCTACTTTTGGAGAAACGTCACCATATTGAGCATATCTGCAGAAAATCCACATAATCAATAAAATCAGTTGTGTGAATACACAGCATTGAAACTAAAGGACTCATTTTCCACAATTGAGATAATATCATTACTCCATGGACAAAAAAACCTAGTCCTGTCCTTGCAAAAAACATAAAAACTAATTAATGAATTAAGTAATAATCTTATCACTTAAACGGTTAAACTTCAGTTTAAAGAAAAGGACCAGGAGAAGCTCAGCTCAGGTTCACTCAATATGTTCTTAAACTGAAAATGACTTTACTACTTAATCATACATACAATTTTGCCACCATTGTTATCTGTATACCAATAAGATAAGCATATGAGTCATGAATAATAAGATGGCCTACTAGTAATAACACAGATCACGCAGGTTTTTTTTCAACTATATCCAAATTGCATATAAGGGGCATGGTATCATTTAACACAACATAACAAATCATACTCTGGTGGCATGTATCCAAATGTTCCCACAAGTCGAGTGTGAAGTGTTGAGCCTCCAACCTCAAAAAGTTTAGTCAAGCCAAAATCTGCTACCTGCAATTAAAATATTACTCATTTTATCTAGTCTTAGAAGAAGAATGGGAAAATCATGATTATGAAGAGAGGTAGGAGTGCAACCTTTCCACGTAAGTGTTTGTCTATTAATATATTTGCAGATTTTACATCACGATGGATATACACTGGCACAGTGTGCTCATGAATATATTCAAGGCCTCTGGCTGAATCTAGCGCAATTTGCACTCGGCTAGACCATGGAAAAGGATCTTTCCCTGGAATTATGTTATTATCATTATTGATCGTTCGACAATAAGGTAACATCATAGAAAATATCATTTTATTCAACAATCCAAGCTGATCTCACCTGTACCATGCAAATACTGGGCTAAGTTTCCGTTGTCAATATATTCATATACAAGGAAAAGAGATCCTTCAACGCAATATCCAATCAAACGCACCTGTGTTGTACATGAAAGGTAGTTACATAAATGCAGAAGAAGATGCAGAACACTCCCCCAAAAAGTTGACACTCACAAACGACCACCACAGAAGTAAGATAAGATTTCAAAGTTTATGTTTGAAATGTAAGGTATGTAATTCAGATCTCATATTAATTGTAGGATTATCATGCGGACCTGCAGAAACAATTTTTCTGGATAGTTATGGGCTGTTTTTGTAATTCTGTTCACGAAATCACCCTGAATATTCATTTTTGTAACAGACTTAATGTTATTCACAGAAAATGATTAAGTATCCTTCCCAGGTATATAGATGTTTGGAGTTGTTTAAAGGATAGTGTACCAGATTCAAATGATGAACGTGAGTTAAGACCTTCAACTCACAAAGAAATTCGGTGGATGCTTGCACGTCCATCTTTTTAATTGCAGTTTTCTGCTGAGAAGTGAATAATGAGAGATTAAAGTACAAAAGGTAAAATGGTTAACCTGAAATGGAATTAAAAGCAGGAACTTGCCCATACATCCTTAAGAACATTATCTATTCATAATTACACAATGATACACAACATATCTTTCAGTTCAATGGAATTACTTGTTTCTTATACTATTAATTATTTTATTTATCTTATACACAACATAATGAACTTAAAGCGATACAACTTAAACATATCAGTACTATTCTAATCTAGATTCTAAAATATCAGTCACCTATATCACCAATTACATCACATGGGTACATGTATGTACCTCGCCTCTCAATTCTGCATAAAAGACAGCTCCAAATCCACCTTGACCAATTTTATTCTCCGAGCTAAAGTTATTTGTAGCCTTTGCTAGTTCTTGATATGTGAACTCCATTGATTTCGCCACCATAATGCCTGTAAGGCCAGTAGCACTAGCAGTAGCAGTCCCACTGGATCCCGAAGTTTCATATTCTGTACTTCCAGAGGCTTTACACGCAAGAGGTAGAAAAATTAGCAAGTAGTACCATGGTCATAACAAGCTAGTACATATCAAATTCTAGGAATATGCATGAGTTGATGACATGTAGACTTTGGAAAGGTTGATAAATAGCAGGTCTTTTTTATAATGGTTACAAGACTAAGAGGAAACAAAGGTAAAACAACCTAGAATAGAATCAAATAACAAGTTTATGCAGGATAAACTGTGAAAGAAAAAAATTAGTAACAATAGCTTACTTTCATACATACTAACATTTACCCGTACCAAAGAACATATTATTGAATAGTTTAAAAGTAACGTGTTGTATACCCTTACCATCTTGAGTTGAAAACGCCAAAGACTTTTCTGTTGGTAATTTAGGTTTCTCTCCTTCCTTCTTTTGGAAGACTTTAACATATATGCAAATTACTAATAATAGAAGACCGCTTATTCCTGCTATGGATATTCCAGCAACAGCACCCCTAGCTAGACCTGCTTATATGCAGAAGCAAATTTAAGCTGAGACACTGACTTTTTCTTTGCGTTCTCATATGCATGTGAGCATCAAGCTGAAAATAACCTTCTTATAACCAACTCCCTATGTGAAGTTTGAGAGCCAAACCTGTGTTTCTGCATGATGGAAAAGAAAATTAAAGTTAAAAAGATAGAATCAAACATGTAGAAATATTAAATTTTAGGCACATAATTCGGCAAGATAAGTGAGACAGTCAAAGTTACCCACCTAGGGTGCAAGGGAACATAGTCTCCAAGTTGATCTGGCAAGTTAAATAAAATTAAATCGTCAAGCAGATGCATAAAAGGTTATCCAAAATACTTGAACAAAAACCAAGTGATTATTTTAACACCCAATAATACCAAAAGAAAAATACTTAGGAATGTTGTGTTGTTCTCTGATTAAAATTGAATTCTTGTCTTGTAATTCACATCATAAGGTTTACATTAAAGCTTAGCATAGCTTACCAAAATAAAACACCAAAACATTGAAAAAAATCTGTGAGTAACTGTATCTAAATTTTGTCAACATCAAATATATTGATGAGTACACCAAACTAACATGATGGTAAGAGGAGAGCATACCTCTTCCTGGAATGAAGACAATGCCACTCTCTTTGCTGAAATTGACTCCAGGATTATAACTCTGCAGCAACTGTGCATCAAGATGAGCCTTGTCGGCAATAACATGCAAACTATTGCCAGGCCTGAGTGGATAGGTAATAAACAATCCATAATCTTTTGAAACCTGGCTGTTCCCGCAAGAACAATTGACCGTGACATTAACCATGGCATTTGCGGGTATATCATTTTGGCCATAACTGTTGAAGCTCCGCAAAAGCTCAATAGTGGTGAGATTGGCATATTTCACTTTGGCAATCGAATCATAAGTGTCACCTGCAGCAGCCGAGTACTGAAACACATGCCCCAGAAACTCACCACGGATACAGTCACAGGGAAATGGAATATTGATTCTCATTAAGGAGAGCAGAGTTCGATTGACAATGTTGTCTTTATTGTAGCTGATTATAACGTCATTGGACAGAACACTTGATTCCATCAAGCGTGTTATATTATCCAAGACTAGAAAACCTGGACTCACATAGTAGGAAGCTAAAGCTACGTCACATCCCTTCACACACTTTGCTTCAACATTGCAACAAACATACTCCAGCAACAAAAGCAATAGCAGTATCCCTTTTTTGAGTTCCATCGGATCAATGATCAATAAGAGGAACATAAAGAAACGTAAATCAGCAAACTGGGTTGCAAGGACCTTGTCCACCTGCTAAAAGCCAATGATCATATTCATTTATTTTTGTCTTGAAATCAATGTCACACTTCCACTTCTCATTAACAGACAGACTAAAGTAACTCAAACATAAAATACAAGTATAAAGGTGTAATAACTCGAGTGAATGAACATAAACTATGAATTCATATACACACGTTTGTGATTTTTTTTTTCTGCTCAAACACCTGATAGGTTATAACGCTTGACAGTTTCCACGAGAGTGTGGAAGGAAACAATCCAATTTGCTAGAAAATAATTGAAGCTGACTTGCATGTTATTTATGTATTTATTTATTTTTTGGTAACAACTTGCATGTCATTTATTGAGGGAACATTTGTTTTACTTTGCATATATTAATTGTGATGGTAGACGAGGGTGTATTGCATAACGAGGAAGTAATCTTCGTGATTACAAAAGTTGGCTTTGTTTAATCCTCTGTATCCGAAATGCCAACCGTGTCGGCCAATGTGCCGACAAATTGCCCACTTCGTATTGTGTCCTCTCATGGTTCTAACAAACGCAGAACAATTTTCCATTTTATATTTTGAGGCACGCCATGATCCAAGTTGACTTCACTCGAAAAAAACAAAAAGGAATATGTTGATGACACAAATAGCATATATAGTCCATATCGCTGAGTAGGATCTGGATTCTTTGCCTATTTATTGTTAGTTCTACCAGAAATGTCAAAGAGTGCTTCATTAAGAAATAATTTGAAGATATGATATTATGTCACGATTTTCATCTGATGTGTAAACATATTTCTAATTTATAAGAAAAAATTAATCATATTGTCTAGAGATTAATTAATTGATAATGTTATTTCGTATTCCCTTGTTAAATTAATAATATCTTAATAAGCATTATCAATTAATTAAAAAAATATAATTAATTATATTATCTCTTAATTTGTTAATGCTCTTCATTTCACCCAATATGAATATAATAAACCATGTTGATAAAGTTGAAAATATAGCTAATATTTTATTAGTCTGACAAAAATTAAAATCACTGAGGGTTAAGTAAAAATATAAAAAGTAATAGCAAATGAGGGGGAATTGTTACTTTTGTTTGTAGCAGTACTTATCACTTTCAACCAGATCACAATAAAGAAAATTTTTTTTCACAATGAACTATTTATTGATTTTATTGATGGTTTATCTCCTCTATTATTTATAGCAGTTAATTAAAAAATTTGAATTAATCTACGCCATACGCCAATTTCACGGTACAAACATGTGTTTCTATCAGTTAAAATTATAAATATTATTTCCTAATTTAGCCATACAATTATTAATTTAGCTTCTCAAATATCAAAACTATCATTATCTATGAACAAAAACTTAGTATACAGTTAATAATTTAGTCTCTTAAAAATATTTATATGTACTTGGTTACATATATTTTGAGATTAGTAACTTCTAATCTTCTGGCGATTTTTACTGCATAAAAAAGTATTGTAAAATGTAATTTGATATGCAAATGCACATTGTTTGCAATGAAAAGGTAACAGGGTGATATAGAATAAATACAACATTTTTTTTTCTTATTTCCCAGACATCAGATTTGCTAGAGTTGGATTTTCAATGATGGAAGCAATATCCCAATCCTCAGTAGTTGAAGTGAGTGCTGTGAGAGTGACCACAACAGAACTCATATTTGGACGTAGTTGTGGATCGCTCTGTGTGCATGCTTTGGCAAGTTGTGCCATCTGCAAGAAGGAAAATGGCCTAAGGTTTGTAAATCAGAAACACAAAAAGTTTATGCTTTCTGATGACTCATACCTTGCAAACTGAATCCATTGGGTAGTTATCTCCTAGCCTAGGATCCACCAGTTTTTTTAGACCTTCTGTGGGATCTTGCTCTTCAAAAGCTTCATCAAACTGCCATATATACCAGTAACAAATTAAAAACTAGAAAGGGAAGTTCCTAATTGTTTATGTAAGATTACTTTGAAAGTAATAAATAGTAGGGTGTGAAGAATCACCAATGATACAAGGCCCTTTAATTCAGCACCATGTACACCACCCCTGATCAATGCTTCTTTAGCAGAAATTAGTTCATAAAGAACAACTCCAAAAGCATAGACATCTATTTTGGGAGAAACATTGCCATATGCATATCTGCAGATAAGACAATGGAAAAATTGAATTCAGGCTCATGAGAAGCAAACTTGTTTTAATGTCTACAAAGACAAACGCATGAATCAACGAGGAAAAACTTCTCCCTCACATGCAGTTTAAGTAAAACAAGGAGCTGGAGAACAATAAATACTCTGAAAATTCATAAAAGGGAAAAGCAACAGACTAATTGCTAGTATGTATAGTCTGATAACCCAACTGGACAAACCCATATGACAATCTATCAACCCAATGTGAAAGACTTGTTTTGGTTTGTTACGCCATCCTTTATATAATATGACAGTCAAGCATTAAATGTGAGTCTCTTCCGGCAAAGATTCAAAAATGGACAAAATGTGCATTTCATTATGAAAAAGGATTTCTCATTTTTTGTTGATTAAGGATTATTATATGCTTACATATATGAATAATTAAATGCTCTAATTGTGCATTTATTTGTGTGTGACTGACATGAATCAATTTTATGATAGTGAATGGATGTGCTACAGACTTATATGTTAAGATTCTCTGATCCTTAATTCCCAAAATCTACGAGTCCTTTTCACTAAAAGTAAGATATCACTTAAAGAGAGAGACACAATTCATCATACTCTGGTGGCATGTAACCAAATGTGCCCTTCATATTACCAGTCGGAAGTGATGAACTTCCAACGTCAATCAACTTGGTTAATCCAAAGTCAGCAACCTGCAAATAAAATAATATAGGATCTCTCACAAACTATCCCAAGTAGAAAAGTAATAATAAGATTCCCAAATTTATTGAAACAGATTGTACCTTCGCACATAAGTTTTTGTCTATTAAAATATTTTCTGACTTTATGTCACGATGGATATATACAGGCACAGTATGCTCATGAATGTACTGAAGACCTCTGGCTGAATCCAGAGCAATTTGAACTCGGGCAGACCATGGCAAAGGATCGAAACCTGGAAACACACTTTGACTTGATTGTTAACTTAGTAAGGCATACACAAAACAATCAATCAAATGCACTAGTACTGAAAATAGATATTTGTAATGTGCTTATAAAACCTGATTTACGTAGATGTTGTCCTAAGTTGCCATTATCAATGTATTCATAAACTAGGAAAAGGGAGCCCTTAATACAATATCCAATCAAGCGCACCTACAGGTTATCAATAGAAAGATATTTAGGTTTCATAGCATCAATCCTCTTTATTTAACGGGAACATAAAAGGATAAAAGGAGAAACAAGAAAAAAATGCAAATAATACCAGGTTCAAGTGATGAACACGTGTCAACACATTCAGTTCAGCCAGAAATTCTCTTGATGCTTGCATGTCCATCTTTTTTATTGCAGATTTCTGTGTAATTAGAGAGGACTTCTTTATGACTATAGGAGATATAAATATTACAATGGGAAACTTGAGAAAGATAGAAATATGAACAATTGCATATTTATCCTAGTAGCATTGTCATATATAATAATTATGCTTCTTGAAGTGTGTGTTAAATGAAAAAACCGTATTTGTTCGTTGTTTAGGGTCGAAAAGGCACATATGTAAAGAATATGTAACAAGTAATGTTGTGTAAAGCAAATACTTTAAAAAAGGTCAAAAGCAAGAGAGAGAATAATGCTAAATATTAATTGAAAACCCCATGAGAACATGATAACTAGAAAAATGTGCAACTTTTCTTTCAAATACATGTAATGGATAGTCAAAACTAACAATGCACATTACGAACCTCGCCATTCAGCTCTGCGAAATAGACTTGCCCAAAACCACCTTGACCAATTTTATTAGCCAAACTGAAGTTATTTGTAGCATTGGCTAGTTCTTCATATGAAAACTCTGCTGATTTGTCCACCCTAATGCCAATGGTGTTGGTACCACCTTTTGCATCAGGATCACTAGAGGCTTGATCTGAAAGAGGGACGATCACTAGAAGTTACTATATGTGTGCTGCTCTTTATGTGTCATGATATGAAGCAGAGAAAGACAGAGTGCAATCAGAACAGCAAACTATTTTGTAGTAGAAACAAAAACTATACTGGTGCTAGCTAAAATTATGAAATTGGAATGGAAAAGAACCTTATAAAAAATAGTAAACGACAGAATCAAGTTGTAAACTTTGTCCCTTCAGATTATTTGCTGTGGACACGAGGGAAATGAGGCCTAAGGCTGACTTAAAAGATTGGTTGAGTCTGAATATGATTCTATATGCAAGTATTTCATGAGGAGTTTTCAAATCAGGCAAGGTTCAATGCAAAATACTTACCTATTTAACTATTTAAAGGGTAAAGGTGATGGGAGGGAGGGGAGAATTAGATGAAATAAAAGTAGAAAACAATATACCACTCTTAACTCTAGCCGAGTTCATCCTGAATTCTTCTGAGAGCAAATTCTTCTTCCATACCTTTTTTCTTCGGTAATATGTAACATACACACAAGATGCCAATAGAAGAAGTGCTGTTACTACTCCAACAGATATTCCAGCGATAATCCCAATTGTAATACCTGCTTTTGTAGAAACAATATATGAGAGGAAAGTAGCTTTACACTGTACTTTAGAGTATCCTTACCTCGTGTCAGATATTAATATCAAACGCAAATGAAATCATTCATCAACAAAACAACTTTTTGGGGGAGTAAGAAGATCAAACCTCCAGTGCTGAAAAGGTAATGAAAATACAGCCATTAAGATTAGCAGGTTACTAAAGATTGAAAAATTAGTCAACTTCATCTAGAAATAATATGGACAGTAAGTTAAAAGAATCACCTTATATGAAGGGGCACATAGCGACCATTTTGGTCTGAAAGTAAAGGAACAATAATATGTGAGGCAGATGTTTCAAAGTTAACAGTTCCTAGGTAATATGTTGAAAGATACAACCATACAGGTGCAAGCATGATGTACATAAATTAAGCCTACTCTTGAAAGCATAATTCTCGCATGTAAACATCTTGAAGATAATCAGAAATTTATTATCATTTCTTCTTGTATATCTTAGATACATGTTTTTCAATGGCTAAGAATGAAATCATCATCACTAAGGCCAAAACCACAGTTAATGTGGTAGTGACATGAGTATAAATCTACTTTAGTATCACAGGACACAGGAAAACTAACTAAAAAGGAATGGCAACTTCCCTTCGTTTATGATAGACTAGATAGCAAGAGCAAGAGCCTTTCAAACTAGGTCAACAATGATATTCTAGCTTAAACAGACCTTGGTACAAGAATATACGCAAATTGTAATTCAGATTATTTCATTTGATCGATTAAGATGCAACACGTTCAAAATCCCATAAAACGTCTGGTGACTAATCCTTTTGAGATGTTGTTTTCTTCAAAAGCAAATTCTTGGGAAAGACTAAGCACACTTATAGTGTGTTTGGTCGCAAGTTAGGAACATGGCTTTTCACTTCAAGACAGAAGCCATCAGTTGTAGCTTTTGCATCATTTACCCATTTAACGTGATTTGTCCCCTGGTGAACATATTTCCAAATACAGGATATGTAAGTTGAAGGCTCAAGTTTAGGTTCGAAAGGCCATGAGTTCTAGCATACCTATGGAGGAAGTTGTACCTATAAATCCATATAATTCAGAAAAAAGAAAAGATAACTAAAGAGTACCCTTAAATCCATATGAAACATGAAATACGTCCAAAAACCTCATGAACTTAAATCAGAAGACCAAGGCATGGTAGCAAAGCAAGAATGTACCTTTCCCTGGAATATAAACCAAACCACTCCCTTGGCTAAAATTTACACCTGGGTTGTACTTAAGAAGCAAGTCACTCTCAATCCCAGTCTTGTTGGCAATTGACTGCAAAGAATCCTCAGGTCTAAGCGGGTAAGTGATGAACAATCCATAATCCTTGGAAACTTCACTATTCCCACAGGAACAGTTAATGAAGACATCAAGAGTCACGGTATCAGGTACATCAGTTGGTGAATATGAATTGAAGCTCTGCAACAACTGAGCAGTGGTCAAATTGGAATAACTCTGATTGGCAATGGACGTGTAAGTGTCGCCTGATACAACGCTATATTGGAATATATGGCCAAGAAACTCTCCAATGCAATCACAAGGGAATGGAACGTTCACTCTGGTAGAGGCTTGGACCTGGTCTTTGCTTTTTATGGTTTCATTGTTGTAGGGGAGAATATCTTCAGGTTTTGAAAGAACCTGGGATTCCATAAGCATTGATATATATGTCAAGTTATCTCCTGTTATATAGTAGGAAGCTAGAGCTAAATCGCAATCCCTCCTACACTTGGATTCTGCACTAAACGCCATAGAGGCCCATAACATGAAGAAAACTGATAATCTGAATCTATGTTCCATTGGGTGGTAGAGTGTAAAAACTTTGTGAAGCCTATCAAAGAGGAACACAAAATCAAGAATCTGGACGTGTTGAACACCTCAAATGGGGGTTGGAATATTAAACAGAAACGTAATTTCAAAAGTTGTACTCTTTTACCAAAGTCTTAAATGTTTCCAAACTTTGTAGTCTTTTGCTTAACTTGTTGAGTGTGTTGGATTTAAAGATGTTTGAATATGTTTGATAGGTATCAAATACGGCTCTATCTTGAATACATTTGAATATTTATTGTAATTATTTTTTTCCACGATTTGAGCATAACTCTAATGGTGCAGATTGTTGGAGTAAACAAACGTAGAGACTTTTCTTCAAATAAATTTAGAAACTTTTCTTCTTTTACTTTTAATTTGTTTATGTTTGTTCATCAAGTCTTAGAAGATCATTCATATTTTATAAATGTTTTTATTTATATTATTTTAAAACTATTCTAATGCATCCTCACTTTTAATTTTAGAAAATTTTCATATTTCATATATTAACGACTAAGAGAATCAAAACAATTCATTTATCCATTATTCATCATTCATATATCAAATTCATTCATTATAAAATATTAAAAAAACAAATATTATATCTAATTAATTTTATGAATTCATCCATTATTTTTCAAAATACGATACATATACTCTCGTCTCATCAATACGTAATGGATCAAAATTTACTTTTCTAAAATGTTTTCAACAATATAGTTTTAAAAAAAAAGTGTTTTATGAAATTGTTTTAAAAATATATTTTTAATTGTTTTGAAATGTATTATATTTATGAATGTATAATTAACTATTTTTCATGAAAATTTGTTAATAGATTAATTGGTAACATTGAAGAAACAGATGCATAGATTAATCTTTTTTATTAAATTTGTTATCAATAAAAATGAATTAGAATAACTTTTTCATATAATATTATAATTAAAAAAAAAATTATTGGTTCAATTTTTCTGATGCGAGGTGTGTTGTCGGCATTGGTAAATCACAGGTGGCAATTCCTTGGCTGTGTTCGGTTTGTGCATTGCCCACACAACAAGCTCAGTATGACTGACCATTGACTTCCTCCTTATTCATTGAATGCTAACAAAAAGTGTTTCAAAATTAATACCCTAAATGTAAAAAATTAAAAATAGTGATTTTTCATTTCATAATAAGATAGCTTTTCAATTTCTTAAATTTATTTTATTGAAAAAGGTACTTTTTTTATTATTATTAAAAGAATTGAAGCCCAAACTTTGGGTTTGATTGAAGTTACACTCTTCCTATGCCTCATATTTATTTGAAAACACATTACACTCTTATTAGTTTACTAAATATGTATCCGAAAGAATATTTTGGATTAAAAATTTTGGAAAATTTGTTGGATAAATGGATCCAAAATATATAACTTTTTTTTTACTTTCTAACTTATAAAATCTGGAATATAATTTTATCATTCTATAAAAATTATTTTAATTTAAAAAAAAAAGTTAAATCTAAAAATAATTTTTCACATATAAATTTTAAATTTACTACTCTGCAACCTTTCCAAAATGAATTATTCTGAAAACTTCTCAAACTATTTTAAAAGTTTTCTAAAATGATTTTTTCAAAAATATTTTAATTTTTTTTAAACATTCCAAAAAAGAACTTTCAGATAAATCAATTTAAAATATTTTTGAAAAACTCATTTCAAAAAACTTTCAAAATAAAACTCATTTTGAAAAGTTTCAGAAAAAGAAAATTATAACCTACTTAATGTTGTCACGTATGATGTGTGGGATAAAACATATGAGGTGTAGTGTAACTCTGTTGGGCTTGTTGCTGGATGGATGTGGCCCAAACTTAAAACCCAAAACAAAAGTAGCGCTAGGCCCATGTTTGTCTGAGTGTGACCATCCAAAAGCTAGGATTTGGCGTCCCCTTGGAGGTTCCAAACTGCTGATGGTGTCATGAAGGTAGTTAAACGTAATCTAATTTCTTTTTAACTAATTTAATATAGTTAAATGTCATTTTAATATTGTCTTTTATATGAAATAAAAATTCAAACAAACCTGATTATATCAGATTTTTCAATTTTATGAATAAATGTTATTTTATTATTTTGGTAATTACTATAATTAAGATTTGTTGACTTCTCCGTGGGAGTTGGAGGATTGCTACAAAATTAGAGCATGTTGGTGTTTTTTTTTTTATCGCATGATTCTTAAGTTTTGTCTCTTCTATAAGATATTATTGGTTACAAGTAAGAAAAAAATATTTATTATTTTAAGTACAAATGTGGAATTAATATTTTAATTTAAAACAAAAATTAAATGTGACAAATGAAAATATACGTAGAGTAAATACTACGAAACTTAAGTTAGTATGATTTGACAATTGTGTGAGTGAGTGTAAAACTGGATGTTAAGAAGTGATTAATACAAATAAATCAGGTTATTTTCATGTTTTGTTTTTCATTTATATATATATATATATATATATATAAAATATGTAAAAATATAAAAGAAATATTATTTTATAAAATTATTATCTCTTTAATTTCATCTATTAATTTTTTAATTTAAATTTAAATATTTTAAAATATATATAATTTCATGATACAAAATATTTAATTTTAATTTATTTATTATTTTTTAAATAAATATTTTTCTTTATTTTTATTTTTTTCTCAAATAAATAAATATTTTTCTTTTTCTTTTTTTTTGACCCACAATTTATTTTCTTACCACCAAACAGATCCCTTTAATTGTTTTAATATTAAATGGTTTGAGTTATCAAATTTATTGAAATAAAATCAACCAATTAATCAAACTAATACCAATTCATTTGAATAATTTTGTTCATATTATAAAATTTATTAAATTAATTTAATATATAATACTATCTTCAATTAAAAATAGTTAAAAAAATAATGAACTTGTTTATTTTTACGATCTTATATAATACGAGATTTTAACTCATTGTAAACTCTAATAGACAAATGACAGTGAATTGTAGAGCTAATAAATTCATGTGAATTTTTTAACTTAACCCAACAACCAAGAAGTTAAATAAATAGATGAATAGAAATTCAATGGGTTGACTTATCTGTAATATGGCATGATGAAGATTGAAGACAAGTACTGAATGTTGTGAACTTTGTTCAACAAACCATTCGAGTGACTTGTGATCAACCGCACAAAGTAAAAGGATGGCTTTCAGGTAGTGGACTTGATGCCACACCAACACTACCAATACACATTTTTACTCCACAAATTGCTTTCTTCTGCCCTTGCATGTGACAATAAAATCTCCACATTCTAGTTACCAACCAGGTTTTTGATGGTATAAAAAAAGGCCAAAAAACAAATATAACAACTTGACAAAGAGTAATAATGCAGCGGAAATTCAATCCCCCTTCTTGCGAGAATCAGCGAGGAGCACCAAACAAATAGAATCCAAAGCACAAAGAGACACCAACAATTTTAACGTGGAAAACCCCTCAATGCAAGGGTAAAAACCACGAGTCGTCCAGACCAAAGAAAAATCCACTATGATCAATAATGGGGTACACAAGAGTCTCCAATAATAATACCAAAAGGTATTTTCAATAAGCAGAATTAACTAAGCACAAATGCTTACAAAAGAGAAACAAAGAAGATGAAAAATCTCCAAAACAGGGCTGCTGGTGCGGGACCAATTTCTCCCAATCTAGACCTTCGATTGACGATCCGAACGGTCAGAATGAAGAACCATATGTCTGGAACCTACTATCCAAAAATCAGCTCGATCCAACGGTGAACGACTTCACAGCGACGAAAACACCAGTGCAGATTTAGGGTTATGCGGAGATGACTTTCTCTCTTTCTTTTTCTCTCACTAGACTTTTTGTCTTTTTTCAAATGACTCTCTTGTCCTCTACTAATCTGACCCATCTCATTTTACCCAAATGAGACATAATGGACCACACTATTTGGGCCTATTCTCCACATAGGAAGGGAGCCCAATAACCCAACAAATCTCCCCCTCACGACTATGTGGAGATATCCGCCAAACCGGCGATCTCACAACAAACTTCAAACTTTCCTCTTGGCAATGCCTTGGTCATCATATCAGCACCATTATCATCTGTATGAACTTTAGCTAGTTCCACCAACTTAGCATCCAAAACATCACGTATCCAATGATACCTCACATCAATATGTTTGGATTTAGAATGAAAAGTTGGATTCTTACCAAGATGAATAGTACTTTGACTGTCACAATACAACAAGTATTTATCTTGCACAAAACCAAGCTCCTGCAAGAATTTCTTCACCCATAACAACTCTTTGCATGCTTCGAGTAAGTGCAATGAATTCTGCCTCGATAGTAGACAACGCCACACACTTTTGCAACTTTGATTGCCAAGCCAAAGCTCCCCCTGCAAACTGAATCAAATAGCCTGAAGTGGACTTTCTGGAATCAATGTCTCCAGCCATATCTGAATCTGAGTAACCCACCAAAGTAGGCTTATCACCTCCAAAACAAAGTCTCAAACCTCTAGTACCACGAAGATACCTCAAAATCCATTTCACAGCATTCCAATGCTCTCTACCTGGATTTGACAGAAATCTGCTAACTGTACCAACAGCGTGTGCAATATCATGGCCTTGTACATACCATTGCATACATCAAACTACCCACCGCAGAAGCATAAGGAATTTTTCTCATAGCTATCTTCTCAACTTCATTTGAAGGACTTTGTTTAACACTCAACTTAAAATGAGTAGCAAGAGGAGTACTTACAACCTTAGCATTCTCCATTTGGAATCTTTGCAACACCTTCTGAATGTAGTGCTCCTGTGATAGCCAAAGTTTCTTCTCTTTTCTATCACGAGTGATACTTATACCAAGAATCTTCTTAGCGGCTCCCATGTCTTTCATGGCAAATGACTTGCCCAGTTGCTTCTTCAACTCGTCAATTTTGGAAACATCTTTTCCAACAATAAGCATGTCATCAACATATAACAACA